GATGGGAGCTGACGACTAATAGAGCTGTAATTAGGGTTTGGATCCAGGGTGCTGAAATTTAGAGGGTGCAACCAGGTGGAGCTGGAAAAGGCACAACCCCATCCACCTCACGAACATATATAGCCTCTTACCGTCCCACTCTGGGGCAACCCCACTCCAAAAAAGACAAAACTCAGCAAGGAGCCAATATGGCCACGAATTGATCTAAACCCACTTTTGTTCCTCATTCCTCCATGCTTTCCTCCCTGTGCCAGTTCCCTGTGCTATAAGTTTGACTGATAAGGCAGCGAAGCCCCAGGTACCAAGCCTAGTTGTTATGGCTCTGTCAACCAACCTCACCTGGAGGGCTGAAGGCTCCCCACCCATGTCCCGGAGACAGATATCGGCTTATTTTGCTCACAGACAATGGTGGCATGTCTGCTAAGAAGTAAAAACAAGCACATTCCGGGAACTGGAATGCTTATCCCAGACAATATCAGAAAGACAGTTATGGAGAAAAAATTTATGGCGTCCCTCGATGGAAGCCTTCCCCCCCCCACCCCCCAGCATCATTTACTCCAGCTGACTAGGTGGAAAAGTGTTAGAGAAAATGAAGACTAAGCAAAAAAAGAGTTTTTACATAAAAGGGAGACAAATGGCTGCCTCAGCCAAATGTTTTCAGCAACCATGTAAATATTATGGGTCTTAGAAGGATGGGTTGGAGTTGAAAGGGCGGCCAGCAATTCTGTTTCAGATAAAGCATCACAAGACGGCCATTTGTCTTGAGTAGCGCTTGCTAATCGGATTATAGATTCCCAAAGTTTCAATGGGATCTCCAGAGAATTCATCACAGGCTGTTTCTTTTAATATGTGCTCCCAAAACCATTGCTCTGCTCTCTGTAGGCCGAAGACTCCCCCACCCCCACCCCCAGGTGCCTCTGCTGTGATTTCACCCAACATTTCAACACGGTCAACTTCATCTTGTGGATGGAGCTCACCTCCACATCTGGTCAATCCATTGTTTCCAAAAACTAAGCAACCCTTCCTTTTCTATTCACCCTCTGATTTCTACTCCAGTGTATGTTGGATCTTTTCTTATCTATATGATTTGGGGTTGGTGGAAATACCGCACTAACAAGCTATGTTTTGCCACAGTAACATGGCAGAGCCTAGAGGAAAACCAACGTAGGTCACTGGATCCAAGAGAATTCTTGGATAACATTGACCAACTAACCTGGTTCAATTAACGTTCCCTATACCACACCTCCCACGGATCTCGAGAAGTCTTTTCAAAATTCATTGGTGGTAATTATACTTGAACCTTAATTCACAGTGATCCTATTTTGGTCCTCCAGCTTAGCTCTCTGTATTTCAGCACTACGGCAATTGAAGGACAATGAGAATCAACCAGGGAATACATAAGAGTAGCTCTGCTGGATAAGACCGATGGTCCTCTTTCTGTTCCCATCCCTGTAAGCAGCCAGATGCCAGGAAACCTGCAAGCTGGACAATCCGCAAACTGCTCTCTCCTGTTGTTACTTCCTCTGCTGCCTCTGAAACTGGAAGCTGCCCATAGCCGTCATTCACTTATTGCTATTTATAGATTCTTCACTGGCCTGAATCCTACTGGTGATTTTTTTCTTGCATAAGGGAAATCACATGCATCTTGGTGGCAAATTGACACTCATTAAGGAGGTTACTCACTGTGTTCCTGGAAGTGTAGGGGGTCCCACCAGTGTCTCCTTTGCAAGTAACAATTTGCTAAAAAGAATAACATGGTTTTCCCAATGGAGGTGTACAATTATTGCTGATACGTAGAATTCTGGTCAACGAATTGGTGGAAATTCCTTTCCATTCAACATCTAGCAGCCATCACAAAGCAATCAAGCAGCAAATTATACCAGTGTAATAATATAGTAAATGAAGATGGGCTTATTTTGGTCTGTCCTAAATTTTCTGACAGGTCAGTTACACTGGAAGACTCCCTTGGTATTTACGAGGGAACAAAACTTCTACTGTATATTCTCCATACTATGTTGTGCATCGAGTTCTCGGGGGCAGTCCCTAACATATGTGCTGTTTTAATGTCCCAGCCTCAAAGAATATGATTTATCATTGAAAAATCACTATATATTTTTTGTTCCAGAAACAATACTCTTCTCGCTGTCCTTAGAATCTTCCAGAAGGTTGATACAACAAGTAGAGGCAGGATTATTTGATTTCTAATTGAGTTTGATGAAACTGGGACTCTGTTAATTTTAGATTCTGGACTTTATAGAGTTCTGTCCCTTTTGTAAGATGATATTAAACACATATTACTCTGCTGCTGTATTTGGTGATCACATCAGCTCATTCCTGATGGGCGAGACTTGGAACAAGTGCTTCAGTAGTGCCATTGAAGATAATTTCGGCAGATTCCTTGCTTCCCCTGAAGTTGTTACCCTAGGCAGTTTGTTGATGTTTAGCAGCACCTTACAACACAAATCTGGACAAACCCTTGCGTTGGGCGGAAGGTTTCGCCTAACATCAATCCCACTGACACAAAGCTGAAAGCATTCACAATTTGCTTCGCATCCCAGCATCCCCAACGCCTCTCGAGCACTGCATAATCTCCCGAGTGCCATTCCATTTACATTAATGGGCCCTTTAATTTATCACAATAATGGACTCTGATGAAGATGGATTAATTTGGATTACAGAAGCCAGCACTTTGTCAAGGACAGATAATTGCACACCCAAAAACTCATCGGCACATTGCTGTCAATCCAGGTCCACTGAGAACGTGCAAGAAGACAAGATTTCTGTTGGGTGCTGAGAGGGTGAAAGTGAAGGGTAGGGACGTCTTTCTGGCTTTTCCTTTTTTTTTTGGTAGGGTGAATATTCACAGTATTAAACAGTACCATTTGCTCATATATTAAACAATATATGTATTTATGTTAATATCCTGGTAAAACGCAAGGCGGAAGAAGGACAGGACACCACCACACCAAGGGAGACAGTTAAGAGGGGTGAAAGGAGGGAAAAATCTGTTTGGGTGCAATCCACAGATCCACACAATTCTGTAAGGATTGAAAGAAAGCAAAATAAAACAAAAAAAAACCCCAATATATTGTGCCACCTTTACGTCTAATGGGCCCTATTTCAGTGTGAACTTTTGTGAGTGAGAGCTTTTATAGCTAGAGGTGTTGGACCCAGTTGGGTGGGCAGTGACTGCGTAGTTGCTGCTCTGCCTCAGGCAGCGCAATGTCTTGGGCCAGCCCTGTAGAAGCAGCCATAGAAAGAGAGGGAAAGGGTCAGGAACAGCCACAGTTGTTGCCATGGTAACAGCCACCTCAGACGCCATAGCCCTCCACCCAGCCAATGGGTGGCAGAAGTGGGCGGGGCTCATCCACAGCCTTCGGCCCTCTCTAGCCTGTCACTCACAATGAGGCCCCTCCTTCCAACTCTGGCAGTTCCTGGTGCTTTTTTTTTTTTTTTACCTCAGGCTGTGCCTGCTGAGGCATTCTGGGAACTGCCCTTAAAAAAAAAAACCCACACACACATAAGGCTTTCATGCTCTGTGTCCTGCTCCTGAGGCGTTTCAGGGAGAGGGCTTTCCCCATGTTAGGCTTATTTTGGTCTGAGGGGGGGAAAAAAAGAACATGGCGCCCCTCCCCCTCTCAAGGCGGCAGAATTTTACCTCAGGGGTGGCCACTGTCCCCTTTTCCTCCATTGCCCAGAAAGCCCCCAGGCCCTTCAAGGGGTAGGGTGGGGGCCCCCTGAGAGGAGCCACCCTCCAATCTCCTTCTTCCCCTCAGGGCGGTCGCCTCACCAAGAGGCTTCCCGGGGCCTAAGGATGGAGATTGGGTTGCTTGGGGGGGGGGCAGGAGAGTTGGGACAAGGCCTCAAGTCTCCCTCCGCAAAGCTTTCCGGAAATTTCCAGGTGGGTGCGCCACACCCAGGCCTTCAGCCAGGTTGAGGTGCTTTCCGGAGAGGTTTGGTCCGGCAGCCAGATGCTCAGAAGGCCTCAGTTATGAGAAGATTAGTTCCCATTTGCAGGAACTGAGGTAAAATTAGCTTATGTTGTGACTGTAACGTAAGAAGGGATAACCTCACTCCTTTTTGCAGTGTAACTATAATTTTAAAGTTACTTTTATAATTAGAGAGGATGTCTGGGCTGACTATTTAGGTGTGACTGGTACCTAAATAGAGACTTGTCACATTCTGATACTATTGTTATTAGTATTATTACTGTATTATGATGATGATGATAGAAAAAGTAGCATATAGCAGCTACCTTCATTATTTTGGAATTTCATGTATAACACGAAGGCAGAGAATTACTCTGAAATGGGCTGCACCAAAATTTATTTTCAAGCTGCCATAAGACTTCTTGTTTTTGATGTAACTACGATGGACGTGGTGGCGTTGCGGGCTAAACCGCAGAAGTCTTTGTGTGCTGCAGGGTCAGAAGACCAGCAGTCGTAAGATCGAATCCACGCGACGGAGTGAACTCCCATCGTTTGTCCCAGCTCCTCGCCAGCCTAGCTGTTCGAAAGTATGCAAATGCGAGTAGATAAATAGGTACCATCTAGGTAGGAAGGTAAAACGGCATTCCCTAGTCACTCTGGCCACGTAACAATGGAAACTGTCTTTGGACAAGCGCTGACTTGAAAACGGGATGAGCACGGCCCCCTAGAGTTGGACACGACTGGACTAAAAATGTCAAGGTACCTTATTATGGAAACAAATATCTTTGTTAATAGTAACTGGGTTAATTTGGGGCAGGGGGGCTTTGGGCTGTAATTATAAGAAAATGGTTACAGTTTTAAAAAGTAACTTTCCCAGCTTTATAAGGACTTCAGGGTGTTCGGGGGCACGCACACACATATTCATGCATGTGTGCATATGTGTGTGTGTGTGTCCTAAGAGACAAAAACAATGAGGGGGGAAGGGAGGAAATGAATATTGTAAATTAGTGAAAGGAAATCACCATTGGGTGAGAGACGTATGTGATTCCTGATAACACCGCTTCTTTGTACCTGTGCCAGATCCCACTATGTCCCGACCAGGTGACTCTGACATTGCATCGGCCAACCGTTCGCGAAGGCCCTCGTCAGTTTGTTCCATGGAAGACAAGTGACGAAGCCCAAAGCTCTCAGGCCAGCTCCCACAGACTTCCAGGAGGGTCATACTTCGGTCAAAGGCACCTTAGAGAAAGAAAGAAAGAAAAGAGGTGAGGTACATTATTTTACCGATTTAATCTGTTAACATATATAGTAATGTAGCAGTTAATTCTGAAGAGCAGGTGCTCATCATGAATGTCCTCAGAACCAGAATCCAAAAATGGAACTACCATGCTGAGCCACATCACCAAACCACTAGCATCTGATCTTTTATAAAGCCAATGGGCCTTGACGCGTATTCAGCACTAAGCCATCCACAAATACTTTGCGTTACAACAAGCATAATTTGGAACCATGTATTCTCGTGGGCAAAACTCATTCCCTTTCCCTGCCTTGGAGCTAAATTCAGTGTGATGCAAGAAGCAAATGGCATTGTTATCCCTGTGGTTTATAAAGTCTCGTCATTTTGGTCCTGTGAACTCTGGCTGCACCAAAACATGACATTTATGTTTCCCTCTCTCTTTCAAAATAATCATGAAGATCCCTAGCAGTGCCATACTATGCAAGTTTACCCAGAAATCACATTGAGCTCAGTGGGGCATACTGCCATGTAACTGTTTACAGAATTGTAGTTTAAGACTATACTTTCTAGGGACAAATCTCAAGCTTAAAAAGACATGGCAGCAGGACTTGAATTCAAGTACAAATATCTAATATAAATATTATATATTTATCTCTCTAATGGTAGTAGACATATCCAATATATATCTGAATAGACATATCGAGGACTACAGTGAAGTATCAAATGTATACGAAAGGACAATAAAATAAAATAAATAGCATAGAAATCATATCCCACAGCAGCGTCATGTAACAATGGACTTGAGATGTAGAAAAATACTATTATCCTCTGGTTAGATTTTTGGGTGATCTAAAAGAACCATGGCTTTATGAGAGAGCCACTGCTTGGCCCAGCACTTAAAAGTGCAAACCTATGTATTTCTACTCAAAACAAAGTCCATATAAGTCCATTGCATTCAGTGGAATGTGTTCTCAGTGAAAAGCGTAAAAAAATTGAACCTGAAATTGGGGCAGCAGATCTCCCTGGAAAACATTTCATAGATCTGGTGCCCTGCTGAGAAGGTCCCTGCTCCTAATGCATGTTTGCAGGCCTTCAGCTGACAAGAATATCTGGATCAGCCCTTGAAGATGCTGTCTTCCTAATATCAGTGCTCTTTAAAATTGAAAACAAAAACAAAAGTCAGCAACATACTTCAGGGTTTCCCGATCCACCTAATGGGAAGGACGTTAAGGACTTGCCCACATTTTACCAGAGCATACTTATTTGCCATTTCCACTTCAAAATCAGCTTTATTTGGTGAGCCCTGTGGATTAACACTGAAAGTGTTCAGAAGTTTTCCCATTCACTGTTATTAGATATAATATTTTAGATTTTAAATACCATTGTGATGGGCAGGGGAGCATGAGATATCTACATTTATGAAAAAAGGTTATGGGTTTTTAAAAGGTAGAGTGTCTAAAAGAACCAGAGAGAGGAAGGAAAGTGAATGAGAGAAAGTGGGAACATGTGCAACTATTCTCGACTCCGTCCGAGATGATCGAGGGAAAACCTATACACTCTCCAGAAAGGCTACTTAAAAATAATTCCTTTAACTTGCAGTTGTTTCCTAATTCAAAAAATAGGACATGACGTTTGACTAAATGCAAAGATTAGATTGTGGACCCCAGATCACTTCAAAGTACAAATTAAAATTATTCGAGTCTATTATACAGCAGGTCTGCTGCGAAGGCTTACTTTAAATCACTCCCTGCTTGGAATGAGATTACAGCTCAAGCTTTGACGCTTGGATCGCATGCCATTTCACTCAACAATTAGGTAACTGAATATGTAGCATTTAGCAGGCCTGGCTTTTGCCAGCCTGTTGAGGTTGGGGTGGGGGCAGTGTGTGTGAATGTGGGTGTGGGTGTGGGTGTGGGGGGGAGGGTTACAAATGTAAGTGTTTTTCTCAAAGTTAAAAGCTGCACAAAACACATCCTTGGTTATCAGGCCTTTGGTGCTCCCCTTTGATCAGCCGTCAGAAACTATCTGCACTTCTGCCGCGACTGTACAGTTTCACAGCTCACTCCTGGCCTCTGACAGGTAGTAATAGAAAGGGCGAGAGACCAGGCCCGGCGGCAGGCGTCCCTTCCTCTGATAATGTCCAAAGTACTGGGCGATAACTGGTGGTAAACACTCAGCCCGGCCAGCTAATCCATGCATCAGCAAAGAGGAGAGATAATATGAAACTCTAATGGCCTGGACCAAAACATAATGAAATAAATAAATAAATAAAAATGGTGCATACATGGGTCTTGACGGCCTAACTGTCATGGGGCAAGGGGACCTATCTGGGGTTTTAAGACCAAGAAATAGGAAATCCCACATTTAGTTAACACGGCTTACAATTCTGGTTTAATGCAGGGATAGGCAAAGTGTGACTTGACAGATGTTGTACTTCAACTCACATCAGCTCTGGCCAACATTGTGAGGAATTTTGGGAGCTGCAGTCCAACAATATCTGGAGGATTGCACTTCCTCCAACCCTGGCCAAACATCTCTCCTAGATCATGTCACACAGCTGCTCCTGTCATTGTTTATACAGCATTTTCAATTTGAAAAGCTGTTTTCTTTCACCTTCAGACTAATGCCTAGGGAGGGTCACTGGTCACAGCTCAGTAGCAGACCACATGGAGAAAGTGCTGGGTTGATCCCTGGTGACTTCTGTTAAGATCAGGTGGCAGGTGTTTGTAAAGTCCTTCCTCTGCCCTGGAGAGAGACTGCTGGCTTCATAGCTTGTTTGGGACTGGGACTTCGATCTCCCAAATCCCAGGCCAACCCTCTAACCATTACGTCCAGAAAGTAAATAGACAGTGAATAGATGTGTCCAAAAATGTGAATGATAACACACCCAGGCAAACTTACAAATGTTCAATATCAATCCATTCATCCATCCATTCATTTTAAGTCTATAGGATCTTCAAAAAATAGCCAGCAAGCCTTTACTTAAAGCCTTCAGATGACAGTTTAGAAACCTTCTAGGGAATTCATACTTTCATTTAACTGCTCTTATTGACAAAATGTTTCTCCTAATGCTCAACTGAAATGTACCCTTCTGTAATTTAAGCCCATTCTTGCTACTTTTGCCTTCTGGGACAACAGAGAATATTTTCCACTCTCTTTGATGTGACAGCCCTTCAGGTAGCTGGGCAGTGATTATTACTTTGCTCCTCAACCTTTTTTCTCTCAATGCCACATATTTTCGCCTCTTCCAATTTTTCATTGTTTTCAGCACCCTGTTCTTGCTAGTCTCCTTTGAACCTGTTCTGATTTGCTGATATCCTTCTTCAGTGTGCCATCCAGAACCAGTGAAGGAAAAAGGGCAGATTTTCTTAGAGTCTCCCAAAAATTCCATCCTCCCAGGGTGATGGAAGATGAAGCATTTATCACATTTCAAAAAATGGGAAACCCAAACACCCTCGCCTTCCTTTTAAGCAGGCCTATGAATAACATCACACAGAGCTTTTGATGCCCTGCCAAGGTGTCCGTGGAGGCACCCAAATAAAAACTTCAGAGAGAGACCGACTCTGGTTTCAGAGATGGCTGAGTGAAAACAGAAGAGACAAGGCTAATATTGCTTCCCCAGTCAAGCCCGAAGACCTGTGAAGAGTGCTTAATGGCAATGTTCGAGGCGTGAGCATTAATGTAAAGGCAGGCACAGGGGATTAAGTGTGCCAAAAAGCTTTCTGGGGAAAAGCACTGACTCCTTTGACTGGGCAAATCCATCTTTATCTTTTTCTCCACTTTCTCCCCCATAATGGCACGCCATGTTCATACTTCGTAATGAATCTCACACAAAGACATTAACCTATTTTCGCAGATGTTCCAATAAGCCTGATTTTCTGACACCCTCCTCCTTTTCTGATGCATGTTCTTTTGAGGGTGCTACACGGACATTTTTGTGGCACCATACCCTAGAGTTGCCAGACCTTGATGCAGATAAATGACAAAGCACAAACACTTCGTGTACCACATCAGGTGTACAACCTAATTCATGTATTGTGCCTGGCAAAGGTCTAAATTGGAGTGGTGTTGCCTCAGCACATGGCACTTCAGTGTGGCTGGTGGCGCTGCACACTTTTGCAGATGGGCTGGTACTTGCCCTGGGTCCCTATTAATCTCAAAAAAAAAAAGGTTAAAAAATTCCTGGGTCTGCGAGTAACTAAAAAATCACAAACTGTCCCTGACACAACATCATTCTGAGAAGGTAAAATGGCCCCATTGGAGTGTTTCCACTAGGAAAGCCCAATGATCTGTTTTTGTATTCATATATTAATATTGGCACCTGGAAATTTAACTTCTGTTGGACTATTTCTTTATTTTATTTATTTCAGTTTCTGTACTGCTCCATTAAGCATTGTCACTCTCTGGGCGGTTTACAATATGCAATGAAAACACAACAAACACTGTACCAAAAATGCAATTAAGTGCAAATAAACCCTGTCACTTGCTGTACCTATGTTTACATTTGAAAAAACTCACACACATTAAAATGCATTTGACCATCTCAAGACAAATTTACAGTAATAGTAAACTCCCAGAATTCTCTTGACCAGTAGGGCCATTTTTCCAAATTCTGAGACCAAATGCCCCCAGAAATCCATCCATGCCATTACGAAGAAATCACCATGAGCCTCTTTTGTGTAGTGTAGACCCACTGTAGTTTTGGCGCAAGATTTTTATGACATTTCTTTCTTATTACAGTTCGCATTCTCAGGGTGCCATCTCTAATTGAACTTGTCCTTTGCTCTGAGCTCTGAGGCAGGATAAAAAATGCATGAAAAGGTTGGGTGTCACCCCTCAAACGCAGTCAGGCTCTCTGAACCAGAGCTTAGGATAAGGAGATGCCAAGAACTGTTGTCAAAAAAAAAAAGGTAACTTTTCCAACCTCTGGATTGCTGCAGGAAGTGGTCCATTAGAGGACATTTTCCAAAATCTGCACTGCCTTCTGCTACCCTTTAGCTATACTCTGTAAATAAAGCCAGATTCTTC